CGAATGTAAGACGTACGACGTGTCTAAAGGTAACGAAGAAGGAATTTACAAGTTTATAGATTAGGTAAGGCACGCAAGGACGAGAAGACGATGTAAAGAGTAGGGGAGACCGGTGTTAGTTGAAACACGGTATGGAACGAAATAAGACCGTTCAATCTGCCATCTATTGGTAGTGAATAAATTATAATTGATTGATGAGTAATAATGTTGTTTAAAGAAAAAGTGAGGAAAGTTCAACTAGAAAATTTTGCAAGAGTCATCGGTAACATTAATTAAGACATAATTCGTTTGTCTTTCAACCGACACCAGTTTCCCGCAATTTGATTGAGGAAGTGCACGAAGAGTCGTAAAAACGAAGAAGAAGATAAACCTGCACAGGAATTGCTGGTACGAAGGTAAATGCTCCAAGAGTAAAGAGGAGAGACGAGGAGAGCGTGAAGGAGGAGAAATGGGAAAAGAGAAGCGGAGAGTGCGAGAGAGTACATAGTGGGCTTTCTAGGCGGGCGGTCGCCGGCATTCTGGATCAATACTCCCACCACTGGTGCTTCTCTGGGGGTTCGTTGGCGGAGGTGGTCTCTTCCATGCCGCGTGCGTATCCGAATGAGTCGTCCAACCTTTTCCGGTGAAAATTGTTCGCTGCTATCCGGTCTGATCTCGCGCGTGCTGGACCTCGGAGAAGTAGCACCGCTCTGAGAAATCGTCGGCGACGATATCGACAAAGAGGATCGAGAGAGTAAATGGTGAATATTTCTTTTCGGTTTTGCAACTTTATTCACGAGATGGAGACACGAGCACCGTTTACACTTCTCCATGCCGCCCTCTCTCCTTCACCTTTGATCATGGGAGACGCGATGGATCCTTCTATTTTATACATGCAGCGGTGATGGTTTCTACGAAGACTCAGGTCTTGTTCTCCAGGTCGGTCGAACGTGGTGATTCGAGTTGCGCGCCAGACAAGCTCGAAGATCGATTCGGTTCCTGCCAAGTGAACCGAGTTGATATGTCGTGTGGTCCAGCGGATGGGCGCGATAGAAAAACGGTTCTCGGCCAGATACGTAAACTGCGGGGGATAATCTCGACGAGCTTACGTAACGACTATCCATATAGATCCGAGAGCTCTACCGTATTGAGATAGGTGGTGAATGACGATGCGTGGAATTGTAAGATACACTAAGAACGTTCAGAGAAAAAAGAGGAGAAATCTTTGGTACTTTATTAGCGCTAAATGCGAGAGCTAATAGCCTAACGAGTGTCGCGCCACTCTGAACCATTGCGATTTCCTGCATTCGTTAGAATCGTACAAGGTCAGCGGATGAAGTAGCTTCCTGAAGCCGCGGGAAGAGAGACAGAGACAGTCCGCTAGGAAAGTTTTTCGAAACTATCTTAATGAGACGATATGTATCCAATGCACCTGGGTCGGAAGTTCGTAATTTGGAATGTAGGTAGTCAGTATTACACCACCGATTAGACGAGAAAAGGAGCTTTGAACATATTCTTATGTCATCGATACGTAGACATTTTATCTTGGGCTTAGATAAACGACGTCAATTGATATACCGTCTTATTTACTCCACGTGTATTGTGCTACAGTACGCGTTTAAATCTGGAAAATTCGAGAAAGATTAGCGCTTTTCGTAATGGCGGCGGCAATAGGGACGAAAATATTTATAGAACATTCAAAAAGGCCGTGACTTACTCAAACACTCAAGAATCCTCCCACCGAATAAAAAAAAATTACTGTAAATTAACAGAGCTTCTCAGCGGTACTTGAATTGATACCGATGACGTCATCCGCGGATGACGTCACTTCGTGCAATCCCTTACGGTTTACGGTTTAGTGTGAGATCCTTGACCTCACATGCGCATTCGCACCAGTACCATTTTTGCCATGCGCTCTGAGCAGATTTACGATCCCGATGCCACGAGAATCGAGCCGTAAAATGTACTCCGCCTCATCTTCGTCCTTCTAAATCGCTGTTTCTTTTTCTACCGCGCTTCTACCTAGCTCAGCATCCATCTTACCACTTATAGCGACGTTGACTTCCTGATTCCCCCGCCCCAGCAAGACGAATCCATTGTCATCGTAGTCTCAAACGTTTTGAACAATCAACGTACCCACGCGCTAACTGGGTAATAAGAAAAAGTACAAAAATAAAATAAGAAATTATATAACAAAAGAACGTATCTCCACGATAGAGTTATCCATACCCAGAAACGGCCAAGATTATCTTGCTATCGTCCTGTCCGTGCCAACGGCCCCAACTTGCTTACACGGCAACTTTGTTAACCGGCCAATACGTGACAGTCGCAGCTGCACCGTTGCGATTCTCGCAACAGTTGCTCAGCACGAGCCACGCGAGTCGCCCTGACCTCGGCAATGACTCTTCTAGTCAAGGCACCAGGCCGACTCCTGGTCCTTCCCCATAGCCGTTAGCCGATGCATCGCGATTGCTCTCACATCTACCAGCCTCTTCCCGGGAAAGCTTATATGATTATCACGGCCGAGAAGGAGACTGTTCAAAATCAAAGCACCTGTCAAACGTCAGCTGGATATGTTGAATGCGCCAACAGTGCTAATCGCAGGATGGTCAATGAAGATACATATACGTTTCCCGACCTTGACAATGACACCATCCATCAGTCACTTAATCCGACACTGTAAAACCTGGCATCGCACGAAATCTACCTGTGCAATGGATGTGCACATCCTGACCAATACATTTCTCTCATTCTCGATATAACTCGGCTGAATAGTCAATGGTTGCGTGTACATACAATCCTCGTACCACCCACAAGGCTCGTCAATGCACGATCATCGAACAGTCCCGATCTTGACAATGACACACCGATCAATCATATCGCATCCCATTCGGTGCATCAAGGTTCCCCAGGCATATCTGAATGCATAATTTGTGCTATTGGACGGAGATACAGGAAAGTCGAGTGACGTAGTAGAAGACTCGAAAAAAGAGAGTGCGAGAGAGAACGTAAGGGAGAAAGAGTCAGCAGGGCTTTTCGAAGTTCACTCGCATGAGCGTACTCGCATCTACGGTCTTAACCGAAACCGATCGCTAATAAAGCCAAGGGCCCGTGCTTGATTCGATGGAGATTGCCGAAGTGGAAGTCCAGGGCTAGTCCAGGCCTTGCTGGCCTTGGCATCGCTGGAACGAAGGCAAACAATGAGGTTGCAAGTTTCCTCTGCTGCTCTTTCACTCCTTTCTTCTCTTTGACGAAGAAGTAGAATCGAGCGGAATTGAGAATTTAGAAAAACAACCGTCATCGGGCTATACACTGTGAAAGCCACGGACATTTTAGGTGTGATAAGCTTGCCCTCCTTATCTGACGCTGTGGTAATTGCAGGGATTGTTATTAACGTATAATAGGACAGAGAACAACCGTGTCGCGCGAAACGTCCATAGCAAAAACATATGGGTGTTTTTCGTTGACACGGACAAATGACACTGACCGCCGTTTATTGACGGTAGTACGACAGTTGACGACAGTACAGGGTGCATATATGGCGAACGTTCACACCATGACGACGAGCAGTAGTGAGAGACCCGTGAGTGTCCCGCCGCACAGTAAATAGGTCACGTATGTAATTTCATTGACTCGATCGAATAAACGTTCGAAATACAGTCTTGATATCTTAAGAACCTTAAAAATTATATTTTTACTTTACGGGCGTTCTGAACGGTTGTGTATGCTTGAAGTATAGTCGCGTGCCTTTGCCTCAGATTACGGTCGCAAGTTATTCGTCTGATTAGTGAACACATCGTTTCTCCGCGAAACTAATGATATTTTTACAATGAGAAAAAAAGGGCCTTCGCTTATCCGGACTGAATAATAACCTAACAGCTCGCAATGGGCACCGACTACCCCGTGTCTCTGATTCGGTTCGGGTTTTCTTGACCCTGCCCCTATTACCCGAAGCGTGTCGCTCGGCGAATCTCGTGTGACGCGGAAGACTCTTTTTAAAACTGGCCTATCTTATCGATGGAATTTTCGGAAAAATCAGTGTCATTCAAATATCGGATATCCTTCGTCCAAAGCAATGTTCGACCCGGAACGTATGACGTAGGTACTCATGCATGTTTCACAAAGAGGTCGAACTTGCCAACTGACCTATGCTTACGTTATCTGAATGTCTTCCGAGCTTATCGTCGATACGTCGATAAGCCTACGTAGTGACCACGTTTCATTCGAACTTCGCCGTGCACTTTGAGGTTAGACTATTTTCAGTGACACAGTTTTCGTAATTGGGAATTATAGAAGGGAAAGAGGGCAGAAAACGGTGACCGATGCGAACGTGCCGATTCGCTTGAAATATCTTCACATGCGTAACTACTAGATAAATTTATTTTTCTCTCTTCCTCCAAGCTACACCGTTATTTCGTCGTATCTTAATGATATGGATTATCGATCTCCTACCACGAAATGCGATACTTCTATTGGGAGATTTTCTGACGATTGTAGATTGCATCTTAATACCACTGGATAGATTATTGGTTATATTCATGATAATATGACTGATAATTAGTAGTACCACAACAAGAGCATGGTATGGAGCATGAATATGTGAATATGAATACGGAATATGAATATGCTAATAGTATAATGTAATAAGTATCATATTGTACAGAAAATAAACTGTAATTATGCACAGAAAGAATTTTATGTCTGAAATTATCCTGTCACAGTGATCCTTGGACATCATAACATTTTGGTTTATATAAGTTTGTAATATATTATAAAACTACATTTCAAGTAATGACTGTGAACTATAGTGAAATATTCCACCAACAACGGTAAATTTTATCAAGTCACGTGCTAAGCTTTAAGATATATTATAATATACCTGAAATTGTATGATTTTTTTATTCTATTATATTTAAAAGTATTAGGTAAACTATCAAAATTTACGATGCATCGTATAACTTAATTTTTTACAGATTTATCTGTGAAAGAATATTGTAGATAATTACTATTTTTCTTTGCAACCTCCGCAAATTTACTGCGTGTAATGACAATCAAACGACAGCGGTCCATCTTCGGTTATCTTTGGTCGAGCTAGCTTACCGACCATATGCGATGACAGTCGACGATCAACCTTGGTTATTACCACTAGTTGCGTGCGAGAGTGAAGCGTTGAAAACGAAGTATTGGGAAAAAAGTGGGATTGAGACATAAAAATACTTCGTAGCGTGATTTAAACAGAAAAAAAATATTATGATATGATAAAATGTTCGCGGCTTACTATCTCGACGGTAATTTTAAATGTCAATTATGCAAAAACATTAAGCATAAATTCTCTTCGTGTATAATTAGGTCGAGATCTGCTTCCGGTACTCGATCGTATTCGTTGATTAAAATATTGAAGAAGTCCCAGCGTTATTTTCAATTACTTAAGAATGATTAACCGGTGTATTCGTTACAAGGATAGCAAAGGCTATCGCCACACGTAAGGTAATTTTTTGTACATAACTGTAACACAACTATTATTTGATTAAGATCTAGTTTCATTAAATATTTGATTATAATCTTATCTCTGTAGATTGCATACGTTACTCGATTTCAAGTGGAACCCGGTGGAATACACATTCCTGTATAAAAGCTTTATTCGAATTACGGGACGATCGAATTAAGAATGAAATTGTAGAAATAAAAGAAAAAGAGAACGAAGAAACTTGAGCCAAGCGAGTCAGTGAACCTTCGGTTCGCCCTAATTATCAAGAATCGATCCTCAGCAAATTATTCTCTTCCCATTCAAACAACGGGTTACTCGCTCGCGTAATAGTTCGTTGCATTTTCAATGGATAAGCTATGTAACTGTATGTAACGCCTTGTTTATCCTGACACGTGTGCGATTATCTAGTAGTGATAAAAATATGGCGAATGTTTTATATCATTGAAAGATTTCATCTCCGTTAAATCATCTGGAACTTTGTGAACAAATTAGATAATGACATCACAATAGTTTCTTTTTCATGGTAGTTTGATAATAAGATTTTTCGATCATTGGAAATTGGGTAAAGAATATAAAAATGATTATCTTTTTTGAAATGGCCTCATTGAGTTTTTATGCGGATAAAAGTCAGTTGCGAGAGAATTTGATGGGTCATTCTGAGGGCCCTTATATTAACTGCGTTAACCTCCCTCGGGAGACGCCATGACAGTTTGTAAATGGAAAATAGACAACTGTCATAGTTTACAGTAAGAAAAGCGTAGCGAGAAAAGTCCTTACTCAGTAAGGTGTTCATTGAAATGGACAGCAAGCAGGATGGAGATAGTAGGAGGTTACTTTGTGTGTGTAGCAGGTTTCTGCTATGGATGTGACTCAAGCAATGAGTAACGTGGTTCGATGTAAATTATAAATTATAGGGAGTTAAGCTTTAAATCTCATTGAATTGAAAATAATATATTTGATGTAATTGTGGAAGCACTTGTGGAAAAAATAGATATGCTATCAATTATCGGCTTGTTTAGTTCGTTTCTATGAACACGTGTAACTATTGGTATTACACAAGAGAAGGAAGGGCAGTAGACATTGCCAATTGCTAGTTTGGTCAACGCTATAGTTCACGAGTCAAATTGCTACTGTAAACATGAGACTATTGATAGAATCTGGTATAGAGAATTTTCTGGTGTATAACACTACCGCGGCAGATATGTTCAATATCGTTAGGATGAGACTCTGAAGGAAACGAAGGGAAAGAAACTGGACGGCTTTGTAAAATGTTGAAATATTCTGTTTATGTGTTAGTAAGAAATTATGTGCACCGTAGCTACCTTAAACGTACGTAATTTATTGTGAGATGCAAGGATCCTTGCCAGATGCAACACACTTATCGAAGCGTGTGATGAGAATACATATAAATTATTCAACACGACCTAACGCTTAGTAGTAATCATACTGAGCACACAAGCGTACCAAGAGAGAGCATTCGAATCCTATTTTATGAACATGTTGTCTTAGTGCATGCACAAATCTCATCTATACTTATTAGCAGTGATTATAATAAGCAGATGGTTTAATAATTTGTAGTATAGCTATATTTTACATGTTAGGTATGATTTATTAAAATGGGAATAGAAGAAAGAATTGATTCTAAGTGAATTGTTGTACGTAGAGAATAGAAAGAATTGTCTGTGAAATACAAACACAATAAACATGACAGATTCAATTTAGTGTTTAGCATGTACAGAATTATGACAGTTCATAAGAGTTTTAAGGAAAATGTGCATTGGTATTTTTAAATCTATGGCGAACTACTAGACATTGGGAAACATGGAGTTTTGTAAACATACCTATAGAATGAAGCGAAGAAATCATCATTAAGTAGAGACTTGCCAATGTAGAGATAGATTCACTTACTATATGTGTCTGATATTTTTTTTCTATAGCAGGCATAGTGGGATGCAGAGACATAATAATACAGCGAACATGAATTATACAGTAAGGTCAATGTTGAGTATACACACTATTCAGTATACAGAATCCTGATTTGCTTATAAGGCTATATATGATTGATCCAGATCTCTCCTATTTTACAGATTACTCCTATTAAATCTTCAGTGATCAGAGGTAAAGAATGTTTGAGAGCATAGTTGTTCGTAGTGAGTTTTTGGTCACGATGGACATTATTATGAGTTGTGTTCATCGAGCAAAGTTGAAATGAATAAAACTAACCTCTCAGTTGGGGAAGCTGCTGAAGTTCAACATCTTGAGAATTACGATAGCGGGATGATCCCTGGGATTTCTTGCTCTTCTTCTTGAGAGAGCGCTTGGCGAAGGGGTCTATCCGGTCCACAATCGTCGCGGATGACATGTTGGGGGCAATGGAGGCACTGTGAGAGCTGGAGGGGTTTGCGACACTTAAGACGCGTTGATGCCTCTGCTGCACTTTATCAGCAGACGAGGAGGCTAGAGACGATGGAGCCCACCCTGAGGAGACGGCATTCCGCGAAGACGATGGTAAAGAATTCACTGCACTCACAAGGACGGCGCACTACACAACTCGAAACGCGTAGCGTACCTGGTGTAACCTACTGTTCACGCGTTTCCGAGCAAGAGCAGGGCAACGAGGATGAGGCTGTGGTGCAAGAAAAGGAAATAAAGGAAGAATGAAGAGATCGTAGGTCGTGCTAGGGAGCACTGCACGACGTCGGTCGAGTAAGCGAACGTAAAAGTGTGCTAGTCCATGAAATCCATAGAGTCCGTGAAAATGTTGGTGAATAAACTCGATGCTCGTGGTCGGTCGAGAAAGGGGCGCGATTCTCACTAGGCGTTGTCACGTAAAGGCGAACAAGCGAGCGGCCAAAGGAACGCACGCCCTGTCGTCGTCACACGTCGAAACTTCACACGATTTCCTGTTGGCGTAAGCTGGCTGACTCCGTGCGCGATTTCACGGAGAATATCCCAAACGGATAGGCAGCTAGGCAACCAAATAGCCAGGCGGCCAGACAGATAGGGAACAAAAGTAAGTTCCTTGTTAATATAATTTCCGATTTAGAACGTCAGCCCGAACGCAATTTACACGAAACGGCGCCCCTATGCTGGGCTTTTTTCCCTCGCGAGAATTCGATAGCCGGGGCTGCCGCTGGCAGCTACGTGTCTCTCTCGCGGGCGCCGTGCACGAAAGGAGCACCGTTATAATATACCTCGTTGGCCGAAACAGCGCTCTCTCCGGCCAACCGATATAGCAACGGTTATCGTGATCTGTCGGTTTACACGACAGCACTATGGTCACTTGGTCACTCTTAAAGGGGCTAACAGGAGACACGGAGACTCGAACAGTACTCGGCCGCCATCAGCTGCTCCAAGCGATGAGCTTCTTTCATTTTCGCCGACCGACCGTCAGGCGCCAAGACCTGCCGAGACGCGCTCCAACATCGTCCGTCGTAACGCGCGCGCACACCGCACTACGATTTCCGCATCTATCGCACGTAAAAGTCAAATTAAAAGAAAAAAATAGTTCGCACCGTTGCCCTTCACTTATTGAAAACCCGTCAAGAGGTGCCTTCTTGTGCCTGAAAATAGTAATGTATGCTCGGCAATCATCGGCCGGAGATTGCCGATCAACTACGGAGACTCACGACTTAGGATAGAGCGCGCCACTATGCAAAGACGCGCGCCGCTGCAACGCCGCCGCTGCCCAAACGCCACTCCTCTTCGACTGCCACGGCCACCTCTTCTTTTACGACCCTCTCTCACTCTCTTTTACACCAAGCACAGAACACGCCACGATTTTATGTAACCTGCCTGTTTGTCTGGATGCTAGATTTCCTTTGCTCTTTTCCTTTTTTTCACAGATCCTTTGTAGAAATTCTCCTTTCCACTAAACTGATTATTTCAATAAATTTGCTGCAATCGACTTTCCTATCTCCCACATTTCTTCGATACTTCAGCTGCAAATTATAAGTACTTGAATTGAATGATTAACGTTACACAATCACTTTCGCGTTTAATGGTTATGCCTATTTTTTAGATATATCCGATAACTACCGCCGTATAATCACAAATAATTTTTCACTAGATGAACACCATGATAAAATTAAACGGCTTAATCTTTGAAAATTATTTCTTTAAAAAATTTGTAACTTTACGCTGTGGTTTTGTCGCCCGATTACAATCAACACGTTGTGCCGATCTAATGAACAAAAGAATATTAAATTTTCAGCTCATACTATTTCTATTTATTTATCATTTTACGAATTTTGGCTCATATAACCTCTGACACTTCTCTAACCGGCGTTAGGATAAAATCGATTAACTAAAGAACAGTGGCAGATAAATTAATCATTTCAATATACGACACTTACTCGCGAGTTATTACACTTGATCAAGCGACGCGGGTTTTAATTACAAAGTACGTAACTAAAGACTCACTTTCAGTTTTCTATTGGAATTATCTACTTTAGCAAAGCTATCAACGATCAAGAGAAGTTGAGATTTTCGAGAACGATTTCTCGAGTCTTCTGTCAATACCTGTCAAAAAATATGCATCACCGTCAAATATAAATCTCGCGTACCACATTTGCTTCGTTCTACTAGAAATTTTATTTTACTGTTTACTGCTAATTATGATTTATAACATATTTACGTTATTACCGGAGCTACGGCGTTGCCACGTGCGTTCAATACGTGCTGGCCTGCAAACACGCTGTGGTTATGACAGAGGATCACAGAGGATGCGTTCGCTTCAAACAGGGAGGACTGTTTGACCAGTTTCTGTAGCAACAAATTTATATTCTACAGGTTTTAAGATACGCGGCACTTATATATAATCACGATTGGCACATTGACGTTTTTTTCTATTTTTTTCTGTTGGCATTGTATGCTATAATTAATGAATTTAATTTATAAACGTGACTTCAATTCTACAAGCAGTAACCTAAATGACATATATTTGAAAGAATATGATAATAAATGTGACACTACTAACAGTTCTGTATATCTGAAAAACTGGACGAACCATAAATAATATGAGCTTTTTTCAATTGTTTCATTTTTCATTTAGTGTGGTTTAAAGTATCATAGTTTTTAGGGAAATTGTGTTAACACCATATTATAATATATTGGTAAAGTGACAATGAACATGAGTATATGAACTTATAAAAGGAATTTAGTTCTCTAACTGCCTAAAATGAACGCATTAGTGCGTTGTCCTGGTTTATATTGTGGCAGAGAGTTATTACTTGATGGTAATTGGAGTGACTGTGGAGCTTGTCCACGAGGTTTTAGAACAAATTCTTCAGCTTGTGTACCTTGTGATGATGTTCCAATGTTTTATGATTGGCTCTATTTGGGTTTCATGGCCTTGTTAGCACTTGTACTACATTGGTTTTGTATAGACAGGCTAGCTATGAGGAGAAATATTACTAAGGAAGTTATAGCTTTACATTTTTCTGCACTATTTGAGATTATTACAGCATCTTTCATTACTCTACAATTGACCGATCCTATTGGAACATTTGGAATTAGATCATGTAAAGCTAGACGGCTTTCTGATTGGTATACGCTTTTGCACAATCCTAATCCCAACTATGAAATGACTCTACATTGTACACAAGAAGCAGTATATCCATTGTTAGTACAATAAACACAATTTATAATTCGTTTTATGAACCAGCTTTTCATGCTATATATAATTTTACAGATATACAATGGTTTTTGTGTTTTATGCCCTGGGTGTCATAATAATGCTACTAGTACGACCTTTAGTAGCACACAAATTTTTACCAAAACCAGGGAAGTTTTCTATTTATGCAGCTCTATATTTCTTTCCAATTCTTGCTCTGTCACATGCAGTAGGTGGTGGTCTTATATGTAAGTAAACTTTCTTATGTTCATCAAATGCAACATGTAAAATTGAATTTTATTTTCAGACTACTCATTCCCATACATTACCATCATTTTGTCTGTACTCTCTAGTGCTGCACATTTCGCCTTCAAATTAAATCAGGTACATTTATACTTTAATATTATATGTAAGACATATCAATAGAGCGAGTATGCGATGTAACAAGTGTTACTCTTTAAATTATAATTGCTTTAATACTTATAGCTTCCTCTAATTTTTCAAAACTTGAAAATTATTTTTTGTTGCTCATAATTTAATTTATTGCAAAACTTATAGGAGTACCTCAACTAATAATTAGGATATATCGTTTTAAATTATCTTTTCGTTGAAATCAGTTCTCATATTTAGTCATACAGCTTATGAGTCTTTTTTCATTTCTTGGTATCATTTAAAACAGAATAATCTATTTTATTATGTATTTTATGAAGTGCTAGAGAAATCAAAATTTCCATTTTCTTTCTTCATATTTTTATAGAGAAGGTATTGTTTTTTAATATCGCCTGGCTCTGTCTTTACTTATCCTTTTAGCAATCTAATGTGTCCTCATTAGCATAAAAAATATATCAATTGCAAATATCTGCTTAATATTCATTATTACTAGCTCTTATAATTTGTCTCAATTACACTTTTCTTTTACAGTCTATGCAATCGCTACTCCTCAGCTCTGTATCGGATATTAGAAACGTGGTGGTGATCCTTGGTCACTGGCTTTTACATGGTTATGGCGTAATGGCTATTGCAACTCTTCGTGGATTCAGCATTCATCCTGCTATGCTCGCCCTGGTCCCTTTACCAGCCCTTTTCTATATTCTCACAGCAAGATTTACAGACCCAAACAAATTACACATTGAATAACTTGATCTGATTATTGTATACAATCTTTGATGTAAAGAAAACTTCAAGAAAATGTAAAAAACTGTTTCAAAAGTTCAAGACGATATAAATGACTAGAAATAAAATATTATATGCTCAAAAGATCTATGCCTTTTTAATATCTTATTCTTATATACTAATGCGCACAAAAATCTTTCCGAAAAAGAATCAAACTTTAGGTCAGGTAAATAAAGCACAAAAAGCATATTTTAGGATGCTCTCTTTAATCATGAATTGGGCTTTAATGTCATGTAATATATGCCGCTTAAAAAAAAGATATATGCGATAAATAAAAACAGTAATTACATTCATTGCCGGTATATAGCGTATAAATAGATAGGCGGCAATGCATTATTATCTGTGCACCTAAATTATGTTTTAGGTACAAACGTCACAATTAAAGTGCTTTTCGGCGAAATTGGCACCTTGTTGGATGGCAGTTTGGTTCTGAAACAACAAATAAGTATTTTTAATCAGGTTTACAAAGTATCTGATATCTATATAATTCTACATGAAAAAAACTTACTGAATGGGAAAATGATCTTGAACGTAATTAGGACTTTGCGTAACAACGTTCACCTCTTCGGATACTTGTGGTAAAACCGAAAGATCTATGTTAGTTGGTTTTTCTCCGCTGTGATATGCTACTAGATATCCTGGATTACCACTCTTCAACCTGTATTGTGCAAGGTATTAAAAAAAAAGGATCTACATTAATTTAGGTACATATTCAAAGTGATAAAGAAAGAAAAAAGGTTAGATAGGTTTTATACATTCAAAGTCACAGCTACAGAAAACAATAGATAAAAGTAGAAAAAATTATTTTTTGTAATTACTCGTTACCACACATGCCATATGCTAGTACTGAACTCACCAGTTCCTGTGCCGCACAGGAGTAGCGTGAAACAAGTAAAGTTATTCTTCAGTTAGTCTTATTAGAACGTGAATAGTTGCAGTGTAACTTTATCTTTCATTTATGCCCGGCATTGAGCCATAAAGAAGTTCGTAACAACTCAGGATATGTTCAATTGAGATTTAAATTGGTTTGATTTTTCTATTGTGTGCGTGTGTGCATACGTGTTCAACTACTGAACTTGGTAAAGAGAACTTCTTTTTAGACTGAACATTAATGTACTACTTTGATAAATATTAGGTACGTTTTTTAGTATACGTTAGGACATGTATTAATTTATGCAAAAACCTCTATATGCCTTATTATTACTTTATCAAAGGATTGCTTTAATGGATTGTTTGAGTTAGTATAACAGGACCCCAATATTTATTTTAAGTGCACTGAAAACCCATTGATGCTATTGCATTTTACTTTACCTGGTGTAAACCAAGACGTCTTCGTTTAATATACTGATCACAGTATCTCCATGAAGGAATGGATGCCCAGCACGAGCATTGGTAAGAATAGTAAATGCGTCTTTGGCAGAAAGAGTATCATTTAATTGCAGGATGGGCGTTCCTGGTAATAGCAACATAGCTAAAATTAAACTATCCGCGACAGCAGGATCATGACGTTGTCTTAAAGTGTTTAGCTGTATAAGAATAAAAGGAAGAATTAACGATACAGCAGAAAATGATTAATAATTAATATCATCGTGAAAATAATAATGTTAATGGGAAATGTAAAATAATAAAGAAAATACTAACATTCCAACCGGGCCATGAAGAACTATTAAGCCACTGGGAAATGCTCTCATTGAGGGATGCTGCTGAAATGTTTGAATTGATCGCAGCATGGAACTGAGGACTTTGAGGAAGGTCAATTAATGTCCGATTCTCGTTGAATACTTGTAGTATGTCAACTTCAATATCATCGCACAGTGTGAACAATCTGTAACAATAAAAAATGTGTAGTAATCACAATGAGAGAAATGAGATGTAAAGATTTACCAATAATTGTATATTACCCTTCCCCTTTAGTGTTGTTTAAAACTAAGTCGCGCCATTTTCTTAAGATGTTACTATTCTCAGGACGATCTCTTGTGTATGCATGTACTAATGATTCATAATCGTTTGTATGAGCTGACTGAGGTGCTCGCGACTCCTCATGAAGATTTGGATCTTCTGTTAAGTATTGTGTGTTAGCCAATCGGAATCCCTCAATTCCCAAACTTAGCCAGTGATTGAGAATGTCCTGTAATGAACGATAAAATATTTAATTATTGGCATATTTCTTGAGAAGACAGCCCGTAAGGAAAAGGTTGATGGTACCGAGAATTCAGAAACGACTTTGGGGTTATTGTAGTTGAGATCAGGTTGCGTCTTATTGAACTGGTGAAGATAAAATTGACCTCTCTCTTCGTTCCATTCCCATGCTGATCCACCGTAGACGCTCAACTACAAATGAAGTGTTATGTCACAACTAGAATAAATTTGCAATGGTTTTTCATTAGAATCATGAGAAAGACTTACCCAGTTGTTAGGTGGAACACGTTTTCCATCTGAATCAATTTTACCATCAAACCACACATAGTAATCAGTGTAATTATCTTCTCTTTGGACAGATTTATTGAACCACGGATGATGTATAGAAGAATGATTTGGATCAAGTTCAAGTACAACATGCTGCTCCTTCTCCTTGGCAGCTTTTACAAATTCTTTTAAATCACTAATGTGGCCTAACTGTGGTTGAATATCTCTAAAATCTTCTGTATGTCCTACAGAAAATTGGAGAGCAAAGGTAATATGAAACAAAATGTATGTGAATTCACCCAAATCTTCTGACTAATAACAAACCTTCTGGTGATGATTTGACAATTGATTTAAGTGATATTGCTTTAATATTTTGCGATTTCAAAGGATCCAAAAGAGATTCTAGACCTTTAAGATTCTTGCTTGCAACATCAGATGCATCTAATTGTATGATAGGACTTTGTTCCCACCATTTTTTTGGTTTTGGAGCAGAACACTTTGGTGCCATCACTATAATAGCAATAGCCCCAGCCAGCATAGAAAGCCATAATAACCAGAAGGCAACAAACAAGAACCATCTCAATCTTATCCAAAATGGATCATTAGCATATTTCATCAATTCTTCCTTGCCCATTCCAGCAAGAGTCTGCTTAACAGTCTCAATATCGATTTTTGCATCACCATTTTCAGAAACAAATTTCACCTATAGAAAAACAACTTCATTACATAAATTTCTAATGCAGTCTTAAGTACTTTTAATTAAAGTCATAGAACCATTTCAGAAATTGAATATCACTGCTACAATATGTTACAACTAATTGAAAATCAGTGATAAATGACGCAATATAAGCACGTTATTGCAGGAACATGTGTCTACCACGTCTTGCACCATTTTAAATTTCTCTCCACAAGAAGACAGACGAAGGTACAAAATGAAACAGTGCATACCTCGGTAGCATCTTTATTAACTCCTATCTTCCTTTCATCCTTGAGCATTCGTTCTTGTGCTCCATCGTCAGGATCGCTCTCTCCATTTTGCTTTCCCATGGCAGGCTTCTCGTTAGAGTTAATCTGTACCCGTAGGTCGTCTTCAGGCAATGGCTTATACGTGGCGACTGGTTCTTTCGAACTGTTCATTTCCCCGCTATCTAAATCCAGCTTCCCACTCTCCATGACGAGACTTTCAAGGCCAGTTAGAAAACAAGTTCTTACGCAACCGTTGCAACTGTGAAGGTAGTATTAAGTGTCTCCCCACGAGGTAGCTTCTTAATCGTTCCAATGAAAGTTTAAAGCTAAAGGACCAGTATACTATCTCTACCTCGCCGCTCAGAAGGCGTGTCCCAACTCCAATATGGCTGGCTACTGCTTCCACTTGCGTTCTAGCGGAACATGATGCGTACTGCAAGTGGGGGAGAAGTATAGTAAGAACAGACCGTAACTTAGATGTGTCAATATATTCAGAAATCAGTCTCGGGTAACCAATAGCAGCACACGATATACCGGAATGCACCAATCGCTTTCAAAGTTGCCAATTGTCTCTAGATAAAAGAATGTGACCACCGACAAACCCTGGTAAAACCTGCCCAGATTCGGTAAAGCGTGCAGTATTCTGCGCAGATTTCTATATCTATTGATTATTGTTGCATTAGGACCTAGGAAATGATTCACGTTTTTTTATATTTCTCATTCACTTTAAAGATTAGTATAAATGTATTCCGTTATCACATTGCAAATAAATCTTTCGATGAAGCATGTAAATTGATTCTTCTACAATTAGATAGAAAATTTCAATAAGATTTTGTGATCATATTGCGTCTGAAGATAAAAATATCTGGTATGTTTAAATTTATTTTTCCCGCATATTGCGAGTATTATACAAATACGTTCTGCAGGATTTGGTATTTCGTATTTTCTTGAGGTATATTTGAAAACTATCAGATAAGGATAAATTAATTCTAATTATGTACATACCAATTCATAATATTAGTAATTCAAACATATAGTCTTCATTAATAATTTGATGTGAATATGTTGACTCTTTTCAGCCAGTGAGAGTCAGCCAGTCTTACTGGCTAAAAAGAGTCAACATGTTCACGTCAAGTTCTTATAGTCTTCATTAATTTTACAAGTAACATTAAGACATTAGGTAAATAATTATTTGTAAACAAAATAACTAAAGAAACAATATTTATATTTCCGATTTAGAACACAGTTTATAACATCGTAACATGTAGATTCATAAATCGATTCATGATCCAATTACACCATATGTCTCCGACCATCAGTAAATCCTGAATAAAATTCAAGTCATTCCCTTCTCTTGCGTTCGAATTACGTTACGTTCGGATACTTAATTAGCGAGAAACTCGATTATCGCACCCTTTTGTTGACTCCGCGCATTAATTATATTATCACTGCTGCGCAGCATTTGGTGCCTTGCGATCTTTCTCAATCTGGTGAGAGCACAATACTCATTTACAGAGTGTTTTCAAAAATCATTGTGGTCTTTTAATCGATCAGTTCAGCGCCTATGAAATTTCCTGAAATATATTATAACAAAGTTCAAATTATGATACATTAACCCTGATCAATATTCATATATAATAAATCTATATATAAGTTATACAGACTACCAGATGGTATAAGAAGAATGATAATAAGAAAATTCGCTTACATAAGTGAAGAAATTTCAATACTCGTCGCGTTACGAATTTGAATTGATCTGTGCGAAGAGATGATAATGATAATTGATACAAAGAGGACGGCTATAAAGGCTGCCCAAAATGTCCAGAATAAACACAATCGGATTTTAATACAGGTAGGTTCTGCGGTATAATAATCTAATTCCTCCTTTGTTAGTTCTGTAGTAAAAAAAATATTCATATGACTTATGATAGCTTTAACTGACATGTGAGATACTTAACGGATTTTTCATTTTAAATACATACCTTGCTTTATGTATTTCTTGTGTGGCAGTTCTATCCTGATGTCCTCGTTAGAGAGATCAGTGAGAAGATAAGATTTCTCACAGAATGCCATATTCTTCAGTGGAATTGCAATACGACACGCTCACTTCTTAGTAGCTGCACGACTGACTAATGTAGAACATTCGTTTCAACTGACAATCAGCTTGGTATTTACAAATCAAACAATTACTTGCCAAGGATGCTTTGTTTGTGAATGATTCGGACGTTACGGAAAATCTTTTTTGTGTTAAGTAATTTTAGGGATTTGAGCTTATATAAACACAGTGCTATATTTATTTGGAATATTTGGATGCTGGAGTATGCTTATTTGCCTTTTGTGACTAAAGGCGGAATTCACATTAAACAACCCAAGGAACTAGAGTTTACTAATATTTTTAGTATGTAAAAAGTTTTTAATAATAAGGTGATAGAAAGCATAATATGGGAAGGATATGATTTAAAGTTAGAGCAGCGGGTGTTTTATTAATTTGTTAAACGTTAGAAAGCGGAAATAGCGAAACGGGGTCGACGGAATACTGCCAGATTTTTAAACAATTGTTTGCAACGAATTAATCTATACATTACTCTGTCCATTTTTAGGATATTTTAATTTATGGAAAAAATTTTTTATATTAAAATCAGTAATGGTAAAGGAAATTCGAGAATGGACGTTAGAAAAATTGACTTGCTTTTGGTTCGAAAATATTTACTAACAGTGTTAAAATTCTTGTATAAGAGTTATCTAATCAGACTGTCAGTTTTCAGCCAGATTGTATATTTATGTACAGAATATAATATCTCTGCCGTTGTTATACATATTTATAGTATTTTTTATAAGCGTTGATTGATTGAGAGATGCATAGTAAACAACTTGCATGTATTTATAAAATGATACCGTAGATTCAAAATTTGGATGTAGATGCGTGTATTGTACTTTCTGCGCGTATCAGAATAAATTCTCTTAATGAAGACGAGTTATACAATTTATACCGCGTTAGATTTACATAAAGGTTACTAATAATGTAATGACTAATAGTAAAGAAGAGAATGTAACATTAATTGCTCCATCGGGTTCAGGATCTTCATCCGAATCGGGTTCATCCGGTTGATCCTCCGTTGTGGTTTCAATTGTTGTAGTTGATTCAGTGGACGTACTGGTTGTTTCTGGTGTAGATGGTTCAGTGGACGTACTGGTTGCTTCTGGTTCCACATCTGGCAATTCGGATCGCGGACATAGTAGCAAAGCGGCATTGGCAGATAGTGATATTTCGGAAATAGTTACGTTGGACCTGAAATTCGAAGTGCAACAATTTGCATTACATGATATTATTTTACATATAAAGGACTGAAATGATATATTGAATATTTTACCCTGTAGTGGTAATAGAATTGGCACTGGCTAGACACACCACAAGATCTTCATTCGTCAGACTTTCAAAGCCAGACAGACTAACAGTGGTGCCATAGAATAGATTATTGATGATCACTGCGTAGGTAGGTTCATTTGAAAGCTCGCGGGTGAAGGCGATAACCTGATAACGTTAATGAAATAACGCATTAATTTGCAAAATAGTTAATTATGAAATAATTTAGATACAACGCGCGCTTATATTATATACATACGGTGTTATCATTTAGAGATTGGATTTTGGTTGCCCCTCGTTTAAATGTTTCCAACTTGCGGAATTCTATGAGTGATTTATATGTATTATAATAACTTCTGTTCGCATTACTTTGAACATCAAGATTCCAGTTTTGGAAGTTACTGGTGACTGGCAACCATGTAGAAGAGCCCGTTGTGAAACCTGCATTGCTTGTACCGTCCCACAAGAACGGAGTGCGAGCTGGATCTCTGGAGAAGAGCTCGAATCGACTTTCACCGGCATTCAGACCCTTAGGATCTTGCGTCTGGTTCCAGGATACCGGCACGTTCTGAAGACCAAGTTCTTCTCCCTGATATGTGACTGAAATTCCAGGTAACAGGAGAGACAACATGTGGAGACCGTCGACACGATTAATTCCAAAGCGAGAAGATACGCGATCAAAGTCATGACTTCCAAGGACCCAATTCGGAGTAACATTTCCGGAAAGCAAGTTCAGCCATTCCGTTGTTAGACCAATCAGTTCTGACGATGACGATGTACTTGTTGCGTTTTTGACAATGTTGAAATTGAGTGGAGCGTGAGCACCAGGATTTGTGTCGTTACCGAGGAATCTGAAAATTTCAATATTACGTTTAACAAAATTAATAGATTTAGTCGAGAACAGAACCCTATATTCGGTTAATTACCTTAATGCTGTTTCAGTGTTTGATGTTGGCTCTACAGCTAAAAGTTTCTTTTCACTTCCTGTGGTTGCCACGTAATTATCAATGACACTTCGCCAGTGAACTACAAGATCAAAGGATGTGTTTAGGTTTGTGGTATAGATATGCTCCAAGTAATCATAATCGGATTCAAGGACCGAGTCATCAGCATTTTCATTGATGGGTTCGTCTCGGAAACTGGAGTCTTCTACCAGGTGGGATACAGAACCAATACGGAATCCATCGAAATCTTTTTCGAGCCAAAATCTCAAAATGTCGTCGATCTCAGAAACTACAACCTCGTTCTCCAAATTGAGATCCGGCTGGTTGGTTCCAAATTGATGCAAATAATATTGTTGCCTTTCTTCGTTCCAAGTCCAAGCAGAACCACCGAATACACTGATCCAATTATTCGGTGGATTAGTACCATTGTCAGTGGAGACGCCATCTCGCCAGATATAATAATCAGTGTATGGTGCAACACGTGCGACAGAATTGACAAACCATTCGTGTTCGATACTCGAGTGGTTCGGTACGAAATCAAGTATGATCTTTATTCCTCTAGCATGCGCTTTCTCTAGAAGTGATTCCAAGTCGGCCAAAGTACCAAGCAGTGGGTCAACGTCACGATAGTTGCTCACGTCATAACCATGATCGTACTGAGGCGAAGTATATACTGGACCGAGCCAGATGGCATCGACACTAATGTTAGTGAAATGATCCAACTGCGAGATGATACCCTGAATATCTCCGACTCCATCTCCATTACTGTCCTTAAAGGATTTCGGATACACTTGATAAATTGCAGCAGTCTGCCACCAATCAAGATCACCGCCAATTTCATCATTGGCGAGTATAGGTTCTGTTTCCACAGGTGATTCTGTAGAGACTGCGGGTGTTGTAGGTGCCGGAGTCGTAACTGGTTCGGGTAGAGCTGATCTCGGGCAAACGAGAAGAGCAGCATTGGCGGACAGCTGTACTTCGGAGAGATTTACGTCCGCTCTGCATAAAATGAATTTCAATTAAAAGAAGCAGTTTTGCTTACAGTTATAAATGATACAGTCATATAATGTACTAACCCAGTATCAGTTATGGAATTTGCACTAGCTAGGCACACGACAAGATCTTCGCCGAGAAGATTATCAAATCCAGTAAGATCAACAGAAGTGCGGTAGATGTCGACGTTTATAACTACTAAGTAAGTATGTTCATTTGAAAGCTCACGACTGAATGCGATAACCTAGCAACATTAATAAATTGGTCAGCTCATAACAAACTATTTCAAACTAGGATTATTCAGAACATGACATTTTAGTTGGTGTACTCACGCTGTTATCATTCAGAGACTGGACTTTGGTTGCTCCGCGTTTAAATGTT